TTGAATTGTCTTGGCACCTTTGTAGACATTTATTTTTATTTCTCTTGCAACCTACGCAAAATAAAACATGCTATATGTACTGTTCTACACCTTTTTTCTTTTTAATGTATCCTAGGAATTACTGCCTGTCAGTATATAAAGATTTTCCTCATTCTTTTTTTTTTATTTGGGTTGTTTGTCATGTTGTTGAATTGTAAGAGTATGGATGACTACAAGTCCTTTGTCACCATATGTATTCCAAACATTTTATCACAGTCTGTTTATTGGCTTGCCTTTCCATTCTTTTAAGTGTTTTTCATAGAGCAGAAGTTTTACATTTTGAAGTCCATTTTATCAGTTTTTTGGTATGGTTTATGGTTTTATTTCCAATCTTTGCATACTCCAAGGTTGCAAGGATTTTCTCCTGTGTTTTTTTCCAGAAGTTTTATACTTTCTAGCTTTCTTCCCTTTTTTCTGAGTTTTACCTTTGGATTTTAGTTTATAGTTTTTAGGATTTTTCCCATTCCCATAGTAGTAAAATAATTCATCGACCTTTCTCTTCCAGAATTTATGTAACTTTGTTTTTTACATCTAAATTTCTGATCTGTTTGGAGTTTACCTTGGTATACAATGTAAGGAATGAATCCAATTTACCTTGTCCAAATGGCTACCCAAAAAAAATTTTAGCCAATTTTATTATTCTGTAATTTACATGAAATAAACATTTTGATGATTTTTGACAGATGTATTTATCATGTAACTGCCACCTCAAGCAGGATGTAGAACATTTTCATCATCCCAAAAGGTTTCTTTGTGTCCCTTCTCTGTCAAGCCCTACTCCACTACCCCATCTCTAGGCAGTAGGTCATCTACTTTCTCTCACTGTAGATTGTTGTTGTGTACGATCAAGTCGATTCCAAATGATAGCAGCCATATAGGACAGAGAGGAACTTCCCCGTAGGGTTTTGTAGGCTGTAATCTTTACGGGAGCAAATCGCCGCGTCTTTTCTCCCATAGAGTTCGAACCACAGATCTTTCCGGCTGGCTGCTGAGTGCTTTAACCATTGTGCCTCCAGTGCTTGTTTGACTGTAGATTAGGTTTGTTTTTTCTAGAGTTTTATATAAATGAAGTCGTACACTATATGGTTTTTAGTGTCTGTCTGCTTTTGTGCCCCGCATAATAATTTAAGATATTTCATGTTATCTCGTGTATCAGTTTGTTCCTTTGTACCACTGAGTGGCATTCCATTTTATATTACAATTAGTTCATCCATTCACTGGGCATTTGGGTTATTTCCAGTTTTTGGCTGTTACGAATAAAGCTGCTGTGAGTATTCGTGTGGACATCTGTTTCATTTCTCTTGCTCAGATACTCAGAATTGGAGTTGCTGAATTCTATATAAATACGTGTTTAAATTTAAAAGAAACTGGCGAATTGTTTTCCATAGTGACTGTATCATTTTACATTCTACTGACTAAGCTGTGTATGAGAATTCCAGGAGCTTCACATCCTTGCCAACATTTGGTTTTGTCCATCTTTTTAATTTTAGCCAGTTTAATGGGTTGTAGTGGTATATCTCATTGTGGTTTTAATGTACATTCCCCTGATGATGACTTTTCTTGAGCGTCTTTTCATGTGTTTATTGCCTGTTTGTATATCTTCTTTTGTAAAGTATCTATTTAAATCATTTTCCTGTTTTTACTGTGAATTCTAACAGTTTTTTAAAATAAATCCTGGATACAAGTCCTTTATTAAGTATTGTAAATATTTTTTCCCACACTGTGGCTTGCTCTTAACCAGAATTTTCTTTCTTCTTCTTCTTTTTTTTTTTGAGGTGCTGATGTTAGTTTTGATGAAGTCCCATTTATAAAATATTTCTTTTATGGTTCAAGCTTTTTTGTTTCGTAACTAAGAAGCCTTTGCCTACCCTAGGTCCTGAATATTTTTATGTTTTCTTCTAGAAGTGTAACAGTTTTAGCTTTTACTATTCAGTGTACAGTCGATTTCAAGGTGATTTTTGTTTAGGGTATGTGGTAGTGATTGGGGTTCACTTTTTTCCAGATGCATGTCCGGTTTTCCAGCACGGACTGTTTTCCTATTGAATTCTCTTGGCATTTTTATAGAATTGACTTAACCCTCTATATGTGGGTCTTAAGCCAGTCTTCAGATACTGTCAGGAGTTGTTTCCCTATCCTCCAAAAGCAATCACTGAGGGATTTTTTTGTTGTTTAGATTTGTTTTTTGGTATCAGCATGAACTCCCAAATTTTAACATTTGATTTGCCTGTTAGCATTTGTAAATTTTAAGTGAACTTTGGGGAGAATTAATATCTTTATGATGTTGATTCTTCCTATCCAAGAACAAATTATGCCTTCCCGCTTGTTAAAATCTAGTTCCCCTATCTTCCGTAGTATTGTAAAGTTTTTTTCATAAAGGTTTTGCACATTTCTTTGGTTTATGTTACAGAAATTTTCTTTTTTTATTGTTAATGTAAATTGGGGTCTTTTCTTCCATTGCATCTTCTAACTAGTTACTGTTTGTCTCTCTGTCTGTGTATATATATGTATGTATGTATGTATGTATACACACACACGGAGGCTATTGCTGTCTGTTAATTTTATATCCTGCTGCTTTACTAAACTCTAATCATTTGAGGTGTTTGGGAAATGTATTTTTAATGTCTTTCAAATGACAGGCAAAGTCAAGGGCTTAGTTCTGAAATGTAGTCATGGATTGTATGAGGCATATCTTTCCTTCATGGTAGTAGGACCTTTGCCCAAAACCACCTCTTTGCCCTCTTGCTGCATGCTGTAGAGCTGTGTCTTTTGCAGCCTGTAAGAGAAATGGAAAATATGCCAAAGTCTAGGACTTACTTAACGTAAGACAGGATTTCTTAGCCTTGACACTATAGACATTTGGGGACAGATATTCTTTGTGTTGGGGGAAGGTATCATGTGTACTGTCGGATGTTTAGCAGCACCCCAGGCCTCTTACCACTAGATGCCAGTAGCGACCCTCCCTCCCCAATTGTGACAACCAGAAGTGTCTCTGGACCTTGCCAAATGTCCCCTGGGAGGCAGAATTGCCCCCAGTTGAGAACATTGACATAGGAAATGGCTAAAGTATGGTCCGTTTAAACTGCAGGTTAAACTGCAAACAACTGGGGAGGGAGGGTTGCTACTGGCATCTAGTGGTTAGAGGCCTGGGGTGCTGCTAAACATCCGACAGTACGCATGATACCCTCCCCCAAGACAGAGATTAAAGTAGGTTCAGTTTAGGAAAAAACAGATACCATAACCAAGGCTCTTTATTACGTATCTCTTTATACGTATGTATGTGTACAGATGCATAGAAGATGGTCTAGAAGGCTACCTAAAATGGTTACTATTGAGAGAATGGTATGCGAATGGTTGGAAAGGGGAATGTTGCTTTGTATTGCTTGAATATTTTACACTAAGATTGTATTCAAGTGTTATTTTCGTAATTAGAATTTTATTTTTAATTTTAAAAAAGACAGTAAATTCAGCTAGCGTTTTATTAATTTTTTTTAATATATGTGAGGTTAATGAAGTATCAGAGTTGTGGTAGTGAGTAGGTAGCTCAGTTAGCTTATTAGACAAAAACTTTTACTTAATAAAAATGATATCTGAGTTTGGGATGGCTTTTTCTTTACCAAAAGGAACTGCTTTTTCAATAGGTCGACTCTCAAGATTAAATTCAGAAAAATATTTTACTCTGTTGGTTTCTTCTGTTTTCAAGTTCGCTTTTTGAAATAAACTTAAAAAAATAGGTAAATAGCTCTTCTGAATTTCAGCATCAGTCATTAAAATTTTAGTCAAAAGTTTAAAAGATTTAAAATAAAAACTAAGGTAATTGGCAGTTACTTGTATAGTCAGTTCTGACGATTTTATGAACATCCCAAGTTAATCTGTTCTCTCTGCCGCATACGTTGTTGTGAGCAAGGAGGTTGTGGTTCTGTCCCCCAAGCAACTTGGTTGACTTCGTACCAGAAACAGATGTCAGACACCAGAGTACATGCTGTAATAGACATGTGAGCATGAGGAACACAGGTTGCAGCCAGCTCTTTGTGGTGAAACTGGGAAAGTCACTACAGAAGAGATGACAGTTGAGCCCAGTTCTTAACTAGAGCTTTGCCAGGGAAGCATCGTATAGGCAGAAATCTGTGTGGAGTAACAGGAGACATACAATTTTTTAAAAGAGCTATCATTTAGAAACCTCCTGTGCGCTGGACGATGCTGTGTTTGAGGAGCGAGAAATGTGCAGAGATCCAGAAGTTAAGAGAGATGGAGGTGAAAGGTCCCTGGGTGCACAAACGGTTTGCACTCGGTTGGTAACCAAAAGGTTGATGGTTCAGACCTACCCAGCGGCACTGTGGGACAGGTCTGGCAATCTGCTTCCATAAAGATTACAGCCAAGAAAACCCTATGGAGCAGTTCTACTCTGTAACAGATGGGGTCTCTTCAGAGTCAGAAACCAGCAACACAACAAAAACAAAAAGAGAGGTGGAGGTGAGATTAGGATTGGGTCTCTTCTGGCTTTTTTGTTGTGCTTCAGTTTTTCTTTAAATGAACTCAGTGCCCTTCCCTGACAAGGGGCATAATTTGGTGTATCAAACAGGTAGGACTATAGTCCTCACCCTCGTGTCTGGTAGAGATAAAAAGGAAACAAGGATTCTCTGGGAAGTGGTGTGAAGGAAAAGCAGTGTCATAGTGCTGTGAGAGCCCATTACAGGGGCCTGATCAAGACTGGGGTCATCACAGAGGGTCTCTCTGAGGAAGTGGCTTTCGAGCTGACCCCTGAAGGACAAGCTGGACGTTGGGGAATGGCGTTGAGGCTAAGAAATAACCTGTGTGATAGGAAGGCAGCCCAGAGTGGCTGAGGTGGGGCTGAGGTGGCATAAGACGGCGTTGGAGAGGCAGGCAGGCGGGTCAGTCACACAGGGCCTCTAGACCGTGTTCATGTGTTTCATTCTAGGACTGAGTTGTCTTTTTTTCTGCAGTACCAAATATGCCCCAACAGCGGCAAGACCAGCATCATCAGAGCACCATGATGCACCCAGCCTCTGCAGCAGGCCCACCCATTGTAGCCACCCCTCCAGCTTATTCCACACAATACGTTGCCTATAGTCCTCAGCAGTTTCCAAACCAGCCCCTTGTTCAGCATGTGCCACATTATCAATCTCAGGTAAGGCTGAGGTTTCCTGACGCTTATTTTTGTTTCACTGAAATAACTTTTAGTTTGAACTTTTAACTTGGTAAAAAGATTTTCTTTTCTATTTTGTGGCTGTGTGTTATGGTGGGGTTAAGGTAGGGGCCTTTTTAATATAAGAAGGTTATTGACCAGTGTAAAAATTTCATGGAAACATCCAAGAAGGGTATTAGAATTTTCAGGGAGCATCTAGTAGAGTTGTTTCTGGAAACCGTGGAGTTAAGACATCTAGCTAACATCTGTTTGACTCTGTTGTGGTATTTTAATGTTTTTTCTTTATTTTTTGTTTGAACACAGCATCCTCATGTCTATAGTCCTGTAATACAGGGTAATGCTAGAATGATGGCACCTCCAACTCATGCCCAGCCTGGTTTAGTACCTTCTTCAGCAACTCAGTTCGGGGCTCATGAGCAGACGCATGCGATGTATGGTAGGAAACACTTTGTTTGTCCTATTCAGTGTGTGTGACTATTTTTAAATCGGTTTTAAGGCTCTGAAAAGATACTTTAAGAATAATCTGGCCTTTTTATGAGATTGAGGGTTAAGAATCTCAAAGATGAACTCATTTCTACCACTGATATGCTTTTATAAGCCTTGGCAAGTCATTTCTACTTCTGTTCCTGGAATCCCTCCATCTTCAGATGTCTCTCCTTTTCCTTAACCAAAAACGTAATGATGTCTGTAACAGCAAAGTATCCTTTTGAGAGAAAGTTATCCTCCTGCTTCTCTTCCTCCTCCTCCCCCTCCTCCTCATTGTTTGGTATAATCTCCCTGAGGCATGTAAAAAAGTTTTACCCTAATAAGAGCATTAAAGCACGCTCCAGCCTGAGGGCATTCTGCTTCACTCCCTGCTCTGGGAGTCACTGGCATTACGTGTTTTTATTGCTGTCTGTTACAATGCTATGGCTCTGTGTTATGCTATACTCCAAGTGGTCAAAACGGTGTAACAGTAGATCTGTTTTAGGTATCATTCACACCATAAGTATAATCCATGTAAACAGAGTGGTAAAATGAAATTAGGTATCCTGTGTAAAATTAAACAGTCTTTATATATAAGAATAACAAGCCAAAAAAATCTTAATTTTGTGGCCAAATGGAGAACTTTGCAGGTCAGCTTAGCAGCTGCCTAAAGTACTAAAATAATAGGTTTTCATTGTTGAGAATTTAAAATAAAATCTCCACTCATATTATATAGAATTGATGGGTTGTCCCGTATTATGTTTTTGAAAATGGGTCTTTAATTAGTACCAGCTTCGTTTAGTTGTAAGTCTTGTTTGGAACGTACTTTCTGAGAGCTCCAGTATTGCCGTTAGGTTCCACCATTGGCATTTCAGTTTTCGGGGTGAGAAGAGGTAAATGTAGGTTTATTCATGTAGTTAGGAAGAGTACTATTATGAAAATGAAGTTACAATGACATGCAACCACATGGACATTTTGTTCTTTAAACTTCTTTAAACTTTTTTTAAATAACTATGAATATAAAGATTCTAGGGTTTTTTTTTTTTTTTGGTCTTTCTTACTTAAGCTATCTTGAGTGAACGTGTTTATGCAAAACTGAGTCCTTTAAGATCTCCCTTTTTTGAGATATTACTGCTTTCCGTTGATACTTTGTACGTCCCCATTTTTGAAATAACTAACAGCTTTAGCGCTAGGTAGTTGTAGTAGGCCTCAGGCAGCAGCAAGCATCTTTTTTGTCACCCCTAACCCAGCTCTGTTTTCTTCCTGGAGTACTCTCCTGTTTCACAGGCGGCCAGTGGTAGGTAATTTTACATGAGTAGAGGCAGTCTTTTTATAAATGGTTAAAAATCTGATGGTAATTTTCCACATCATTGCTTCTAAAAACTTTTTATTGTGGATTATGCATTTTAGACGAAAAAATGGTGTAATTGCTACATTTTGGAAAACATTTCTTTCAAGAAGCCCATTTATAATTTAATTGAAAAATAAACTGACAGACTAATTTGGTTTATGATTTTGGTTATGATCTCCTGTCACTGACTTGTCTTTAGTTCTCTTGACCAGGACTAAGTGTGTATGAAAAAGGCACCACTGATTTCATCAAGCTGGCTTTTATGCAACTTGTATACATTTCAGCAACTTTCCAGTTTGCTAAAGGCTTGGGCGAAAAGTTCATGATGAATGTTTATACATAACAAGTGGAAAAAGCATTTATTTCCTCCCATTTTCTGGCGTACTGCCCTTGGAATAAGATCTGAAACTTTTGAGCTAAAATTTCCACCGCTTTTAGAGCATACCTGTGCTGTTGAGGTGTTGTAATACAGATTTGAGCAGAATCTTTCTCCTCAGTGTGTTCACTCGCTGCCAACATCTGGCTTTTTCTTTTGGATGGATGTTCATTGATTTGAAACAGCCTATACAATAAATACTATATTTGAGACACTAATGATTTTTATGACTACTTTCCCAAAACATTTCCATTTGAAAAGCAGTTGATCTTGGACCCTGAAGTCCATTCAAGTGTGGATAAATAGGAAATATTGAAAAAAGAAAAACGCACAAACAGAAAACACAGCACCTAATGTACAGTGAGGGAGCTCAGGTGGCACAGTGGTTAAGCTCTCAGCTGCCAGCCAAAAAGGTTGGCATTTGGAACCCACCAGTTGCTCCGTGGGAGAAAGATGCAGCAGTCTGCTTCCATAAAGATTTATAGCCTTGGAAACCCTATGGGGCAGTTCTGCTCTGTCCTGTAGGGTTGCTGTGAGTCAGAATCGACTTGACAGCAGTGGTTTTAATGAGCAGTGACACCTGGAATGGACTAGTCATCCAGGCGAGTTACTTCATGCCAGGAGAAAGTTGTTCAACCAAATCTGAACTTCTGTCCTACAGTTTGCACAGCTTGTAATTGAGGGCCAGGCCAGGGGCCAGGCTGTGGACTTGGCTTGGTTGTTGCTGGTTTACCAAAGTTCTCCTTTAGATACTTAAACCAAAAACCAAACCCGTTACCGTTGAGTTGATTCCGAAAAGAACACTGGGGCATGAGTGGTTTTGTTCTTTGCCATCATACACCACAATTTAATGTGCCTAAAGCACGTTCTTCGTTGAATTGTCAGTAATTTATTTGAAAGCCTGAATATGCCCAGTATAAACAAATTTGTAAGAACATTTCTTTTAAACTAAGACAAAAACCGTTGCATCGAAATGCTACTTTTATATTCTTCTCCCTTGAACAATTTATATTTTACGTTCTCAAAGCAGGAAAATACTTTGAGTATGAATTATGTTATGCTATCTAGATTTTTTTAAAACATTTTATACAGACAGAAGACTACATACCCAAATGTCAGTGACAATTTTATGTCACCTTTTTCTCATTCATTTGTTATGGCCACAGCAAAAGGCTTTGAGAATAGATAGGACCACTAATGACTGCAAAATGAAAGACTCATTATTTTTAATTTTTTTGCAGATGTAACATAAATATGCTAACAGATTACTGAATAGTTAAATTATTAGAGTAGGAGATGTATATTTAAAAAGTTGTTGACCTTTTGTAGTCTTTCTAGCCGTCTTGGAAAGGACGTTAGTCACAAGCTTCATCTCTTTGACCTTAATCTAACCTTCATCATTGCCTCGGCCCCTCCTTCCCAAGAAGTGACTTTAATTTTTGTTTCCCTAACATCTAGTTTTCTAATTCTTCTAATTTTGTTGTTATGGTGGTGGTTTTCCCTTTCAGAATTAGTAGTAATGAAACTTTGTCTACCAACTAGAGCCATGGGGAAGAATTAGAATCACAATTCTTGTTTGGTTTGTTTTTGGTGGTTGAATGCAGATAAGTTATAAAATACAGCAAACAAAAAGCATTAAAAAGCACCTATTATCCCGCCAACTGTTAACATTTTGCTGTTTATCCTTCCAGATGTACTTAAACAGATACACACACTTTTCTGTAGACATATTTAAATGAAAAATGATAATATACCCATGTTTAATATTGTTGTTTCTAAACTTTTTGATCCACTACCAGACGTCTAATAAACACCTTTCAGAGTAACGGTACTTCTGTTAATAATGTTTTGCAAAATTAGAGTTGTTTGAGTCATTTCAACTGAACCTGGTAAATATTGTCTTACTTTGGTGCATTATTTATGTCAGAGTTGTTCAGTGGCATGCCATGTTGGTCTTTTACTAGATAATGATTTTATTCCTTTCACTTAAGCAAGTCAGCTTTTGGAAACTGACACCCCAATACAGAAGAACGATGTCTTTCTTAGAATGCTGTCTGATTTAATTCTGTAGCACTATTTTAAAATGCTTGTCATCTCTTGTAAAATAAGAAAAGTGAATTGTGCATGAATGCAAAAAGAAATTACTAAATATGTCAACCTTTCCAGAAAATTAGGAAAATGCACACCTCAGAAGGCTAATTTACCTTTCTATTTCCCAAATTCAGCATGTCCCAAATTACCATACAACAAGGAGACAAGCCCTTCTTTCTACTTTGCCAGTGAGTTGGGTTTTTTATACTAATTTTACTTGTACGGTAAAACACTTTTTAAAGAATATATGTTAAGGGAGTAGACTTGTTGAACAGTATTTTCCTTGTGCCAGACAAAATCATTAAAAATATATATATAAAAATCATTCAGAGTTTTAAAAAAGTAAATAAAACCCAGCTTAAGAAAGCTGGAGTTAATAAATAATTCACTTGTTTCAGAATTAATTTTTGCATACCAAGCAAACATGACTATTTTGAAAATGCCTAATATTTTCCTTTTTCAGAGAAACTTCCTGAACAGCTCTTTTTTTCTTTTTTCATACCAAGTCACAAGCTCAGTATAGTTTTTTTAGTGTCCTGGTAAGAAGAAAGTTATCCTTACCAGTATTTTTAATAGAATACGGTTGATGAAATACTAAAGGAGAAACGTTCCAGATTTCAGTCTTTGCATGAATGAAGGCTTAAACTATTCAGGTAGCAGACACCCCAGGATGTGTCTTCTAGAGCTTACGCAGGAAAGCTGACGTAGCCGCTCGGGTTCTACCAGTGTGGCCTTGGCAGCACGGGCTCCCTCTCCCTGCCCATGAAAACGTCAGTGGTTGCGCCAAGGTGGAAAAAGTCGGCAGGATTTTCTTTCAGAAATGAGCTTGTCAGGTGTGTTTTCTCTGTTTGTAGGCAGTACTTTAATAACACTAGTCATGGTCTTTGGTATTTGGATAAGAAGAGTACCAACTTGGAGAAATCCTTTAGAAATGTATGCTATTAATATGTGTCACCTCGTGTGAAATACTGTATTCTAGAAGATATTAAGGGTTAAAATTTTTATGTTAGGGACTAAATTTTGAATTATTTGGAATGACTCAATGTCTTAATTTTATTAAATGCCAGATTTAAGAAAGCATTTAAATAACACGTTGACCTTAAATGTTTACTAATTGGGCCATGACTTGGTATCCAAAAATAAGTTGATAAAAGGTATATGCATATCATTTATTTATTTGGTGCTAGGAAATGTTAACAAATTTAATCCTTTAATAGTTGCTCTTTAAAAAGGAGTCTTGCTGTATGTATATACTATTAAAGGGAAACTATGTATGTGATTATAGTATGTTAAAAGACAGTGTCATAACTTGATTTTATTATGTACTCAAATGGAGGTCTCAAATGTAGTTATCCTCACCATCTTACTGCCTCTGTTAGTAGTTTTGGAGTCAGTTTCCTGGTAAGTAGCTAATAACAGATCCTTAATCATCACACGTAAGCATTAACTGCCTTAGCACAGCTTCCCCTAGAAGGGAGGAATATCAGTGTGTTTTAAAAGAAACTAACAGTTGGGCTGCTGTTTGCAATTTAATTTGCTGCTTCATTTTCCCCTCTTGTAAGCCACTTTGTCATGATTTGGTCCAGTTGCTTTAATTCCCCTTCTAAAGACATTTAAACTTTCCTTCACACTTCCCTTTTTCTGAACTTAACATTGGGTTAAAAAGTTCGAAGGTTGTTGTTTTGTGTCCTTTTTAAAGTTTTGCAATGCTGGTGATCTCTCATGACTTGTGCATCCAAGGGCAAAGTGACAAAACCTCGTTTCGAATTAAACACACAGCCTTCAGGACTGAATCTGCTTCAGTAAGATCGTGGCCTGGGAAACGATGTTTGAAATGTGGTTAGTGTTACAAGGATTCGACCAGTAGCCTGTTGAGAATTGCAAACGTTTATATCAAGGAGCACAGTGGGAGATTGAGGGGGATTTCTGGACCAGTTCTGGCCCCTGACTTCATTTCTTAATTAAGATGGAAGCAATACTTCTTTGATTTACTTGGCCTGATGGAGCAGGTCTCATGAAAGCTACTTAATTTTGGTAAATAAATGTTTAACCAAGAGTAGCTCCATCAGAATTCCAAAGGGAATTCACTTTATTATTTAACCACCCTGGAATCTTTAGCTACAATGAGCGTGTGTAACAAAAGCACTGAAATAATATGCTTAGCTCAGCACTTAGCCCTTTGCTACACTTCTCCTTTTCCCATGTTCTGTGACATTTCTTCTTTCACCCTGTCTTCGTTTCTCTCTCCTGTGTCTCTCTTCCCATCTAACTTTTCGTTTCCCTCCTGTCCCACCTTTCTTTGTTTCAGTCTTCACTGGCCTTTCAGGGGACCAGAGTGTATTTTTGGTGTTATTAATATTGAATTAAAGTGTAAATTTCACATTTTTCCCAGTAAGCTACCCAGGTTTTGTATTTGAGGGGGAGGATGACTTCCTGGATAATGTACTTGCTTTCATATCTGTTAAGCTAGAAGGTGAACAGGGGAAAATATTCCTGGTTAAACCTCCTTAAATTTTATTTGCAGCTGATGATGTATATATTGCATCTGCTTGATTTTTCTTACGTCACAGTGCCTTGTAGTATACTGCTGTTTAGGCAGGGAAAGGACGGATGTTTTAAAGAAAACCATGTGTAGATTACTCAGCCTGGGTTACTTGAAGCTTGTGCTGTGCATGCAAATTAGAGTATAGATTAGAACATTCTATCTTATAGCCTTGAAATATTGATAGTCTTTTATTAGATATGCATAGTGACAAATCTTTCATCTTTAATTTTCTCTCCAAGCAAATAGTTTCAAAATTTTTATGTTTTTCTAATTGATGAGTAACTTAATTATAAGACTTTATGGACATTAATTATTCTCTTTGCAATGGCTTTGCTTTTATGTGTAAAAAAATATATATACCACCCACCTAGACTTTATTTTTTTCTTTATTCTTTTTTATATTCTTAATATTTTGCCTACAAGGTAATCAAAAGTAAAATTTAAAACTTCCCAGTAAAAAAAGAAAATTTTTTTCTTGAATAAATAAATTAGAAGCTTTTAGATTGTGGTGGAGCCCTGGTGGCCACAGTGGTTTAAGAGTTTGGCTCCTGATCAAGGGGTCGTCAGTTTGAATCCACCGGCAGCTCCTTGGAGACCCTGTGGGGCAGTTCTGCTCTGTCCTGTAGTGTCACCATGAGTCGGAATCTGCTCGAAAGCAGTGGCTTATGGATTATGAGATTCCTTACTGTCCTTATGAAACCCTATAAATAGAATTTGGGATTTGGGGATTGCTTTTCCTCAGATGGATTTAGTATTCTTAAAATGAAACATATAAGAAGTTTCTCATGGGGAGGAGAGAGTTTAAATGCTGATAATTTGAAAATAAGGCAACGTGAATGACTCTGGGGCATCACTACCCAGTAGAACTTGGTGGAAATGTTTTACAAACTGCCGTCCAGTACAGTAGGCACCAGACATGTGGCTGCTGAGCATGTGGAATATGGCTAGTGCTACTGAGAAACTGAGTCTGTCCTTTTTTAATTTAAATAGCCACATGTGGCTAGTGGCTACTGTATTAGCACAGCTCTGGGTAGATTTTAGTCGTTTCAGACATTTTGAATTTTAATTATTTAAAAATAATTTTTTTAAATGAGTTTAATTTTTTTTTTTTTAAACAAGAACAGCAAAGTAAGGGTCAAAATTAATAAACATTTGTGTTAAATCTTTTCTTCCTTTAGACCAAGTCAGTGCCTAGACAGTTTTGAGGAGCTGAAAGTAAACTAAATGGGTATGATGGTGCCAGGGTGGTGTTTTAATGAAAACAGTGAGTTAGGGGAAAGAGACTCCTTTCACAGACTCACGGGACTGTGACACCCAAGAAAACTCCTAGCACATCGGTTTTCCCAGCTCTCAGGAAAACAGTCAACAGCTCTTTTTAAAAATACCCAGAGGCTATGTTGCCACAGTTTTCCTTATTAATATAGATTTTCTACTGTACGTTAACTCCTTAACTTAATTGCACTCATGTGGAACCTGTACATAGACCAAGAGGCAGCATTTTGAACAGAACAAGGGGATACTGCGTGGTTTTAAAATCAAGAAAGGTGTGCGTTAGGGTTGTATCCTTTCACCATGTTTATTCAGTCTGTACGCTGAGCAAATAATCCAAGAAACTGGACTATATGAAGAAGAATGTGATACCCGGTTTGGAGGAAGACTCGTTAACAACCTGCGATACGCAGTTGACACAGCCTTGCTTACTGAAAGCGAAGAGGCCTTGAAGCACTTATTGATCAAAGACTACAGCCTTCAGTATGGATTACACCTCAACATAAAACAAAAACCCTCACAACTGGACCAGTAAGCAACATCATGATAAACAGAAAAGATCAAAGTTGTCAAGGATTTCATTTTACTTGGATCTGCAATCAATGCCCGTGGAAGCCGCAGTCGAGAAATCAAATGACACATTGCATTGGGCAAATCTGCTGCAAAACTTCAGTCACCTTGAGGACTGAAGTGCACCTTACCTGAGCCGTGGTATTTTCAATCGCCTCACGTACATGCAAAAACTGGACGATGAATAAAGAAGACCGAAGAATTGATGCCTTTGAATTATGGTGTCGGTGAAGAGTATTGAATATACCGTGGACTGCTGGAAGAATGAACAAATCTGTCTTGGAAGAAGTATAGCCAGAATACTTCTTAGAAGCAAGGATGATGAGACTTCATCTCATTTACTTTGGACATGTGATCAGGAGGGACCAGTCCCTGGAGAAAGACATCATGCTTGGTAGAGTAGAGGGTCAGCAAAAAAAAAGGAAGATGCTCAACCAGATGGATTGACACAGCGCTGGAACAATGGGCTCAAACACAGTAATGATTGTGAAGATGGTGCAGGACTGAGCACTGTTTCATTTTGTTGTACATAGAGTCGCTGTGAATCAGCACCGACTCGGTGGCACCTAAGAAGAACAACATGTTAACTCCTACAGTCAGGAAACTGTTACCAGTGTATAGACAAAACTCCTTTATTTGATCTACACTAGAAGTTCAAGTATTGTCCCAGCTGTGGTGTTGGCATTGCACACACAGATGGTCCCAGCACTGGCCATTTGCCTCACCCTCCCCATTTTTAAGAGATACATTTGCAGTTGGGGAGATAACCAGTTGGGCTGGAATTTGGTGGTCCTTTGCCTCATATGCCTAACCTTCTGCATAACTTTGACGTGGGACACACCAAGTCATCTGTGTTAGTGACTACCTGCAGCCTTGCCTCTCACACTTCTGGAGGTAGGGTTCCTGATCCCACAGCAGTGTCTGCTTCTCCCTGACCTGTCCCCTGTGTGTCTGTATTTGCCAACACGTTATGTGAAGACTGGGAGGAACTATTTTGGAATTGTTTCTGTGTGTGGGCTCAGCTTCTAAAGGATTTTAGGATTACTGTGTTGAGCAAAGACTGGGGGTCATGCGTTGCTCCAGCTGTGTCTTGAGAAGACTGTCCTCAGCTCATTACCACATCATGGGTGGGTTTGTATTGTGTGCTGGAGGTAGTCATCGGAAGCAATGAACACGTCTTATTGTCCTTCTGATTCTTAAATTGCTGTTTTTGGAAGACATGGGCAAATGAATTTCTACCTAATCTCCCTGCTTTGTTCCAAGGAATGGCCTTAGCTAAGATTTACAAAGAACTAGTTTTTGGTTCTAATCGTTAATGAACAAATTATTACTTAAACTGGCCCATCCTATTTCCTTTGAAGTTACTCTAGCTAGTGAAGTCCCTTCTAAAGGACTGGGTGCTCTGAAGGGGCTCATCTTCTTACGTAGCTTAGGTAATGTCATCTACGCGATTCTGTAAAGCAGAGAGCCCAGGGAACAAACTAAGTGACACAGTGGCTCCTCTGATCCACCAGAGGAGATTGTGGTCATTTGGCCCTGAAGATAGAGCCCTGACCCCAGCACATACGAGTGGAGATGACTTACACCACCCTCCCTCCCCTACCCTGATAGCATCTGTGCCCACTGGACACTGTGCCAGCTCCAGGGCAGTAGCATGGTGAGGTTAGCCTGATGATGGCCTTGACCAGAGCCGGGAGAGTGTGATTGAGTTGTTTCCACCTGTGCCTTCACGTTGCCTGTTGAGGAAAACCTAGTGACTGTTTTAAGAGTAAATGCAAACTAACTAAATTTTATATTAAAATATATACAGCTGTGTTAGCATAGGACTCAAATGCTAGTTTGATTGTTAAGTAATGACTTTACATTTATTTTTCAAGAAAATGGAGTGAAGTATAGAGATTGGTTTTGGTGTAAGTTAGACATTTGTACCCATCGAGAAAGCTCAGTTGATGAGAAGTAGTAGAACAATCCAGATCATCCCGTCGCTGTACACTCTCCTTTTCCTTTCACTTCAGTTTCCACTGGCTCCCTTGCTCAGCAGTATGCGCACCCCAACGCTACCCTGCACCCACATACTCCACATCCTCAGCCTTCGGCTACCCCGACTGGACAGCAGCAAAGCCAACATGGTGGAAGTCACCCTGCCCCCAGCCCTGTTCAGGTAAGGAGAAAGCGGAGGCCTTCAGAGACCCTCCCTCTCCGTATTTACTGAGTCCCTCCTTGAGTGCCCGGCCAGGTGGTAGGTACCTGGAGATGAGAACACGTGGCAGCCCTTCCCTCAGGTAACCCGTGCGCAGTTCAGCAGGCTGTGCCTCCTGGGGCTTTTAGTTACATACCGTGATCGGGTAAGCTCACTATTGAAAAGCCTAATTTAACATAAAGCATATAAAGTAAGGAGTTTGTGGGAGGACCACTAATGTTTTGGGGCATTCCTAATGTGTTTTGAGGGTTTTTTTTTGTATTTTCATCTTCAGTCGTGTTTGTTAAGGATCAGCTTTGACATCTGTTCACTCCCAGGGGGAGAAGGAGTCTTGTTGTACCTCTGCTTGGTTGAGGGCCTGGAACTGTCAGGCTGAGAGTCAGGCTTCTGCTCCCCAGAAAGGAGCCTCTGGGCAAGAGGCAGCCCTGGCCCTGCTCTGACCACCCCATACATTCTCGCACTCTCGGTGCCCCTCATCGGAGCCTGTTTTCATGCACAGAGCTCAGCTCTGTGTGTGAGCCTCAACTGCCTTTCTTTAAAGTGTTTTTCTCAATTCTTGCTGGTCGCTTTGCAGCACCATCAGCACCAGGCGGCCCAGGCTCTCCATCTGGCCAGTCCACAGCAGCAATCAGCCATCTACCACGCGGGGCTCGCGCCAACCCCACCCTCCATGACACCTGCCTCCAACACGCAGTCGCCACAAAATAGTTTCCCAACAGCACAACAAACCGTCTTTACGATCCATCCTTCTCATGTTCAGCCGGCATACACCAATCCACCCCACATGGCCCACGTACCTCAGGTAAACCAGCTTTAGCCAACTTTCTGTCAAGAGCAAGTAGGGTGTGAAGGTTGTCAGATCAGCAGCAGAGCCAGATGCTCTCTGGCTAGAATGCCCTGTGTGTGGTGCCTTCACCTGTCCCCTTTCCCTGTGCGATACATGTGCTCTGACCCTACGTGAGTGTTTGTGTGGTTTCGTAATGGAGTTGCTGACTGGTCCGCCCTTGAACGTTTCCCAACTGAGACCTCAAAAATACCTTTGACTCTGGAATGCAGCCCGGCCCTTCTTTCCTTTCTGTGTCTGCTTTGCTTTGTGTATATAGCTTCACTGCTATGTACACACATACACACATGTATATGTACCCGCCCCCACACGCGCGCGCACACACACACACGAAGCTTGGCAGGGAGGGTGGGCCCTCCCACGTGCTTAGCCCTCTGAGGTGACCACCCTGGGCTTGTCAGCTTGAATGTCAGCCTCATGGGTTCCGGAGATGTCTCTCCAGTTGTTTTCCCTGGCTATCCATACATCTGCTTTGACCATACGTTGTACTGGAAAGGGTGTGGCCTTGTACATGGGTGCAGTGAGCAGCAGGTGTTCTGAACCATTTTTCTCCACGAGCAGCCCTGGAAACACTTTGGAGCTCACCTCCAGTGTAGTAAGCTTCTAAAGGTGGAAAGCTGTGTGTGCCATCTCAGTGGTTGCTGTCTGTATCAGCTGCTGAAACAGGGCCAGTGCAATCCGGGCCAAATTGGATTGTCTTCCTGAGGAGAAGGAGTGAAGCTGGCTCTCACGCTGTCCTTGTGCCCTCTCTGGGGCTGTTAAGGGTGAACTGGCTGTATGAGATGGTTTTTTAATTTTTTTTTTTTTTTATTTGCTACTTTAACAATAAAACTCTCTTAGGTTGGGTCTAAGCTAGACCCACCTGATTGAATTTCATTTTAGGTCAGATAGTGCCAGTGAGGTCTGGCCCGGTGTGTCGTTAGGGGTCTGTCTCAGTTGGCTCTGACTCGGGAGCCTGCTTTATAACTAGAGGTCCATAGCTCTGGGAAGTGTGGGCGTCCTCATCCTGCAAAGTGTAGGTTCTGTAGCACAGTGCACTGCAGTTGATGATGTGCTTTTGATGGTGGGGTGGGAAGCTGGTTTGGTCAGGTGCGGGCTAGCACGGTTTGGCTGAGTTAGAACTTCCTGAGAGCTGGGGTCCTGCAGATGTCTAGCAGAGGCTGGTGGCTAAGTAGGTATGTGTGAACGTACCTGGAAGTTGAGGTTCTTAAAACCTCGTTTTGTGTTTGTGCTGAAAGAACAAAAAGGTTACCACTTACAGGAAAGCCCAACATGCCATGGACCCATCTGACTGTGTACGAGAGAGTAAAAACGGCGTTTCATTAAAGGCTTAGCGTGGACTAGACCAGTGCCCAGTGTGGAAGGCAGGAAACAGAGCTCTCTCCTGGTCCTGCCACACCCTGCAGAGCTGGGTCCATCCCTGATGCTGGCTCTGGCCACCTTTCCAACAGGACAGGGAGACCATGCGGAATTCCTATCTTGGTACAGGGACACTGGGTTGCCCAGATGATCATTTCAGATTGCCCTTCCTGATCTCACTGGAGCCATGAACTGCAACCTCCTCCTCCTCCATCAGCACAAAGGGGACCCAAGAGTCTCTCTCTTCCTGCCCTGACACACTCTTCAGTGAGCTGTGCTGATGGCCAGGCAAGCAGCAGGGGGAGGGACAGACTAGAAGAGGTCTGAGTGACCCAGCCTTTAACATAAAACCTGCTTTCCTATTTGAAAGGGGTGTTATCTGTAAAAGTACATGGAAGCTGGACTCTGAATCATCGTTGCATCTTGCCTCATCTTCAGTTGAGAAGCTGCCCTTGGCTGAGCGGCCTGATCTTTGTGAGGGCCCCGCCCCACACATAGACCCAGTGTCGGAGATCTTGATGACCAGGCCGTGGCAGCCCTGTACCCCAGGCTCACTGGTGCCTGCCCCCAGCTTGCAGGATCTGACAGAGGGTGACGCATGTCTGTAGGTCAACTGATGATGCCCTAGGGAGTGCCCCCAGAGACAAGAAAAGGCCCTGAAGGCCCACCGCTGCCCTTTCCTGCGAGCCCCAGCCCAGTGAAAGGAACACAGTTGACATGTTGTGTAAGCGGAGATGTTGCCTGTATGCGTAAAAGAGCTCTCTGTTTCAGGCTCATGTACAGTCAGGAATGGTTCCTTCTCATCCAACTGCCCATGCGCCAATGATGCTAATGACGACACAGCCACCCGGCGGTCCCCAGGCCGCCCTCGCTCAAAGTGCACTACAGCCCATTCCAGTCTCGACAACAGCGCATTTCCCCTATATGACGCACCCTTCAGGTGAGGCGTGTGTGTGCAGGGGCCGCCGGGGCACCCAAAGCATTCTGCTCGCACAGGGCGAAGGGCAGGCAGGGCCAGTGCTTCACCCCCCTCGTCGGAGAGCTAGCAAGACCCGTTCTAGTGCGCACAGTAGGGACTGTGACGGTCAGCTCAGTGTCAGGGCCCGAGGCTCCCGGAGCCTAGTCTGTGTTCTTTGGTCTCCAGGATTTGGCTTGATGAGAAACAGCAGCAGCAGTCTGGGTGGCTGGCGCATGCCTAGGACTCAGTTGGCCTTCTTTGTATGCTAGGCTGGACAGGGCGGCGTGTTCCGTCCTGAGGCCCAGCAGTCTGACGTGGGGGGTGTCACCAGGGCAGAGTTTGAGTGGAGCTCTGAGAACACTCCTGATGCGCAAGTGCTGCGTGTGGTTGGTCGTGAGTGCAGCGTCAGCTCCAGGCTACGCCCCGGCAGGGAGAGGCGCCCGAGAGCGCGCGCCAATGCTTGCTGGCTGCCATGGCTGTATTCACAGGCGAACCTTTCACTCTGAAAGCAGTACCGGTGCTTGGCCTAGTATTTGGGAGGGGGTACGTTAAGGCCTTTTTCCTAGCCCATGAGCAACAGGTCTTGTGGGAGTTTTATCTGAAATGGTTTTACGTCTGACTGGTTTGTTTCTACCCTGTCACCTACCCACCCACCCCTCCCCTCCGATGAAGATGGGAGGGGAAAAAGCGAATTTAATCTTGAGTCTTGTTCAGCTAGCACGAGGATAGTTTACAGTCGTGTGCTGCAGACACTAGGCTAATGCGTGGTGTTGCAGTTTTGTGTTTAAATATTCACTTTTCTTTTTTACAGTACAAGCCCACCACCAACAGCAGTTGTAAGGCTGCCCTGGAGGAACCGAAAGGCCAAATCCCCTCCTCCCTTCTACTGCTTCTACCAACTGGAAGCACAGAAAACTAGAATTTCATTTATTTTGTTTTTAAAAATATACGTTGATTTCTTGTAACATCCAATAGGAATGCTAACAGTTCACCTTGCAGTGGAAGATATTTGGACCGAATAGCGGCATTTAGGAACTTGTGGGCTGTTCCATAATTCCATACGCTGTTCAGAGTCCCGCAAGTACCCCAGCTCTGCTTGCTGAAACTGGAAGTTATTTATTTTTTAATGACCCTTTGAAAGTCATAAACACGTCAGTTAGCAAAAGAAGTAACAAGAGTGATTCTTGCTGCTATTACCGCTAAAAAAAAAAAAAAAAAAATCAAGACTCGGAACGCCCTTTTACTAAACTTGACAAAGGTTCAGTAAATTCTTAAACCGTCAAACCGACGGATTATTATTTATAAATCAAGTTTGATGAGGTGATCACTGTCTACAGTGGTTCAACTTTTAAGTTAAGGGAAAAACTTTTACTTTGTAGATAATATAAAATAAAAACTTAAAAAAAATTTAAAAATAAAAAAAGTTTTAAAAACTGGCATCAAGTTAGTGTGTGTTTGTGTGAGCTCCTCTGTCGTAGGAGACTGATGTCAAGCCAGGAAGGCTGAGTGTGCTTTCCTCATGGTCCAGAAGGCAGCTGTCAAATGATTTTTCTTCTTCACCTTTAGTTCTGGTTCAAGGTATCTCTAGAAAAAGCCAAGACTGAGCTATTCTCTGAGGTGGATTAGAGCCCGCCTGCTGCAGGAGGAGGAAGGCCGGCCAGAGCTGGGCAGCCCTGAGCCCCCACGCCCGCAGGCTGACGCCAATCCTGTAAGCTTCCTTTTTACTATCTGTTGAGCCCCCACGAGTGGTGCTAGCTAGGTGAATGTGGTCTGGGTGCAGGCATTTTGTCTGTCTTACCAGTAGGGGGCAGGAGACACTTCTTTAAAAAAACTGTCAAAGAAAACCAGAGAGCAGAAAGGTTGACAAGATGCAGGGGTATACACAGCAGCTTACTGGGGTGGACTCACTCACACCTGTTAATGTCCCCAAACTGCCGGAGGGGGATCAGGGGAAAAGCACATGTCTGAGCAGGGTAAGGGTCTTGTAGAGAGGCCACAGTCGAAAAAAACAGAGCCAGTAAATACCAAGGCAACAAATCAAGTTTCTGAAAACTTTTTTAAATTCACATAGAGCAATTTGTACATTATAGCAAAATTTGCATTATTCAAGAATAAGTTACTTGTACAGTACATAAACAATACATAAAAAAATTGCCAGATACCTTCTGCCTGTAATGGTACAAGATGAATCCACCTTCTGTGTCGTCATTACAATGTGCTGCTTATTCCGACCACACACTGGATGTCAGATGTGTCCTTGTTAGGAGGCAGTGGAGAACTATCAAGTCCCTCTGTCGTGTGGGGGCTTAGAGCTGACATCTGCGATAAGAGACTCAGCCCTGAATGAAAGCATGAAGGGATCTCAATCTACCCTCAGAGAGGAGGTCAAGGCCTTGATTTTAGGTTAAGAAACTGTTATGTAAAAATAGTGTTCTCTGGCCCAGGATTTTAATGACTGCTATTCCTTTTTCCTACACGGTCCAGAAATGATCAAAGGCAGAAGATTTATACCAGATAAAGCCATATGGATTGCTGGTCTAAAATTGAAGGCAGGTTAGTTGACTTAATTCTTTGGTGCTGGTGACTGTTAGTGTTAAAAGTTGACTGAAGTCAGATAAGAAGGTGTCGGTGCTGGGGGCTGTCAACCTATGCTTGTTTCCTGTAATCAGATAACTCGAGGGGCCTTGTGGTGCTCCGGGCCTTGGGCTCTCGCAGAGGGTGGTGGGCTGGCTGCGGCCACCAGGGAGGTGCCCGGGGAAGAGAAAGCATTGGCTCAGTGTCACTTCCCCCCAAGTCATGAGGGGGCTTTTTGTCAGGATGTATCTGAGCTGTGCTGGTAACTAGGACATGTTTAAAGAAGGAGATATTTTTCTTGAACATTTCAGCCTGAAGTAGTCTGGGGTGGGTGATGTCCACTTCTGTGTCACAAGTTCTGAGCTTATACTTGGCAGCCAGTGGGCAGAGCTGCTGGTCGGCTGGACCTGGTTTGCCTCTGGAGGCTCCCTGAGACGTGGCTATAGAAGTGGGAGCCCCTGGCTGGAAAACGCCCTCTCCCCGATGGTCAGATGTCTGGCTGGAGGGAGTGAACTTACTGGGTTTAGTTTCTGCCTAGCCATCGCAGAAGGAAGTCTTCACCAGTGACTTTCTCTTTAAAAGAGAGATCCAGACTATTGCTTGTTCTTTTGGTTCACACTTTGCGGAGTGTTGCATTTTAGAAATCTGCTTGACTGGTAGAAAATAAAGGAAAGCAGGTGTTCTTAGAAATGGACCACAGTCTAGATCAAGTTTGGATCTGCTTTAACAGTCTGTGACAGCACTCAGGATTTTTGGTTTTAAAAGTGTTGCAGAGGTGGCTGCTCGCCCACCCCACCCCCCTCCTAAAACCCCAGAAAGTTTTAGAAGTAAAAGAAGTCTGACTCAGAGTACAGAGAATAGCTGGAGGGAGCAGACCAAACTCTCGCCCCAGATAAGGCAGTCAGTACTGTTGGTTGTAGGCCAGGGTTTAGTTTGAGCCTCTGATGGATGTGTCTATAAATGCTAAGCTGTGCTAAACGCCCAGTTTCCTAGAAGCCACTGCAGTGAGCCGGGTAGCTGTACTGAATGGCTCTCCAGGAGCAGCTGACCCCACTCTGTCACTGCCACCCTTGTTCCTGAGCCTCTACATGAAAGTTCTGGGAGGAGCCAGTCCCCCTGTGAATTGTGTGACTTGTGAAGAAAGGCAAGGGCCCATGGAGCTTTAGCTTTAGGGCTCGCCTGGATGGTGGCGGTGGTGTGCGTGCACACTCATGAAATCTGTGTCCGCAGTGACCAGCGGGACAGAGCAGGTACACTAGACTCTTGAAGGAGGTTTTCATTAGCTATGGCACCAGATTTCCGGCTTGCGTTTTGGTTCACAAATGAGCCTGAAGCCCACTTGCAGATAATTGCAGATAAACTATTGGTGGGGAAGGGCTCTGAGCCAGGCCCTGTGGGGGAGAATTTATTAGAAAGGGCCCAGGGGCCCTTCTTCCCCTTCTGTCGTCCTCCCTCCAATTAATTCTCACCACAAAGCTGCTGTAAACCAGAATCCAGTTTTTTATTTATATTATTTATTTATAAGGCACTGGGGTAGAGCTATCCCTTGCCACCCTATTTCAGTAATTGCCTGAATTTCCCTGAAAGGGTGAGACACATGCTTCACTTCTCTACGTACAGGAAGGACACTGGCCACTCAGCAGGTGGCTGTCCTGAGGATGCAGTAGACAAGGAAGCCAGGCGTCTTGGCTTGGACGGTGGGTGAACCTAGGCAGGATTGCATAGCTGTCTCCAACTGCAGGGGTATTAGATTAGTTATCACAGGGTTAGTTTTAGACAGTGCAATGAAATAAGCAACGGTTTAGTTTTGAAACCTGAATCCTTTAAAAAAATTAATCTGAGGTAAAATGTTTAAAATCACTTTCGAGCTTTTTAGCTTGTCCCTCTGACTCTGATGGAGCGTTGTCCTAAAGCTGAGAAGAAGCAGGACTAGGTGTGGTCACCTGTGGCAAGGGTGACAACAGGAAAACCACGTGAGAATCCAGAGCTGTTAGTGTTTTGGGCTTCCTGATGATGACTCCCCAGTAGAAAGTCTGTCATCATCAGCCGTGACGACAGTGTCAGTGAGAAGGAGAACAGGTTTCCACTGTGGGCCTCACCCTGCCTCTAGTGACAGCGGCTGGTCTAGGGATCCAGAGTAGGCAGCGTTCACGAACAAGAACTACACCTGTAAACGTGAGGAGGAAGCAGGTGGTGATGGAACTCACAGGAGGCCCTTCACCAGGCCTGACAGAAGGGGGGAGCAAGTTATCTTCAGCCTCTCTCTGCGTGGGAGGGAGGAGACGGTTACATTCAAGTCCATGTCTGTGCGTGCACCTCGTGCGTCTGGAGGCCGCGGCCTGTCAGAGGGGTGTGTACTGATTGTCGATGGCCCGCAAGTGTCTCCGAGAGGATGCATCCAGTTCATAGTCTGAGTCCCGAGCCCGCACCTCAGGCCCAGTCTCCAGGAGCCGCAGGCTGTCAGCCAGCTCCTCAGGTGAAGGCACCCGATGGAAGATCTGCTCCGGGGGTGAGGAGCGGCCAGGGGGCGCCTCAGGGCCCAGCCCCCGAGGACAGGCAGGAGAGCCAAGGTGGGGAAGGTCTGGCTCCGAGTCCCAGCGAGGCAGGGAGAACGGGAATAAGACGGTGTTGCAGGAACCTGTGAAAAAGTGACGGGATACAACATGAGGTCTGTGTGCCCTCAGGCCAGCTTCCACTCCCGAGCTTCCTGTTCCCCTGTAAACAGGCAATAAACAGGCAAGAAGGTCCCACCTGGTGGCTGGGAGACAACGACCACGTAGCTAGACAGGCGGACGTCACAAGCAGCACCACACTCGAGTGGGATGGGGGAGCGCTGGAAGTGGTGGAGCATGTCCACCACCGAGGGGAAGTGGAGGTGCTGCACTCGGCACTGGCCCCGCTCGCTCAGTGACAGGCGCAGGTGCTGCAGACAGGGGAGATGTAGGCTCAGGAGCAGCCCCCAGGGCCTACCAGGCCTAGGGCAGCCCTGCCCAGCCCATACCTTGGCTATGCCCTGGAAGTTGAAGGTGAGCACGTACTCGCCGCGCCGCGTCTCACTTTGCCGCACCAGGAACACACCATGAGCAGCAGGGCCCTGCAACTGGACCAGCTGGGCCGCCTTCACTCGGGAGATGGGGCCGTGGAACCAGGGGTAGCAGGACAGGAAGTGGTCTGTTTTCTGGGAGGCTGGGTCCAGCAACCCCCCAGGAGAAGCACCTGGTAGAGAAGGTGGTGATGGTGGTGACGCATGTGAGGCTGGGTCCCCACTGGACTCCCTAGAACAAAGTGCCAGCTCCCTCACCTTGGTTAAGGGAATCTGTGCTTCCCCTTGGGGAGCTGGCTGGGCCGGGCTCCAGGGCTGAGGGCGCAGGCGGCTCCACATCGCTCTCTGGCCTGCTGGAGAAGAGGCTGGGTGAGGACCTGCGCAGGTCAGGGCACAGGAGAGGCTGTGCTGAGTGGGGCTCAGGGCCATGGGCCTCACCCTCGGCCTGTGCACTCCCGGAGCTCGGCCATCCATGCGTTCAGCTGCTGCTCATCTCCAACCTCAAAGATGACATCTGTGCGGTCCTTCACCTGGCCGGGAGCAGGGGGCAGCTGTGAGGCTCTGTGACTTGTATGTCCCACCCCAGCGGGGAAGGCCTGTCACTCACTCACCTTGAGCACAAAGGTGTAGAGGTTGTCGGGCATCTCCAGACGGGTGCAGCGCCGGACCTCCTGGATGCTGGAGCAGGCTGCCTGCAGCTTGGGCTTTGAACTCTAGGAGGCAAGAGAGGGGCTCAGGCTCATCACCCACTCTCTCCTGAGGGCCTCTCTAGAAACCTATGCTGGCTGAGGGCAACTCCCTCCTCTGGTGTCTTGTTACCCTCCTGGTAGAGGAAAAACCTCCTTGCCCAGAGTGGGCAGAGGCCTTGGTCACACCCTTAACCCCTCCTAAGCACAGGTCTCCCTCAGACTAACCCTAGGAAGTAGGGGCTGTCACCACACCTTAAAGAGAACCACCATCTCGGAGGTAGAGTCTGAGGAGGGGGCAGAGTCAGGGTTTGGTCGCTGTGCAAAGCTCCACACCAACCTAATTTTGCATCCTTCTAGTCTGAGACACAAAGGAGGTTTGTGTGCAGGGCGGGGCAGATAGAGTGCCTTTTAGCCACAAGCTCTGGGGCCTTCTCCCTATATACCCAAAGGGACAAAGCCAAGTGTGGCTGGCAAAGTCCCAGCCAGCTGTCAACCCACCTCAAATCTCAGCCCTGTCAGATACCCAGCACCAATGGGCCTGAGAGTGGCCGCCCGCCACAGAGCACCTCTGCAGGTCTTGGGCCAGAGAGGGGCTGACCCTCTGCTGCCCCCATCTCCTCCACCTTCTCGGGCCAAGAGAGCCCCAGTGGGGCAGAGGCTGCCTTTTCAGACCACACACATAACCTTCTTCCCAGCCCACAGGCACCACTAGGAGAGGGATCTTGACCAGGACCAGGCTCCAGAGAGTCCAGCTCTGGTCACCACTGACATGGATGCTCACTGCACCCAGTGCTTCTGGCACCTCATCTCAGACTCAAGCGAGGGACTGCAGCCACCTTTCAAGGTTTTTTTGCCCACTCCCCTGGGAGCCAGGGATATGGGAGCACAGCCCCACCCCAGAGGCCCCACCCTTCGGCCGCCCTCGGCTCTTGATGCTCACTCTCTCTGCTTTAAGAGAGTTGGCCTCTCCTAGCCTCTATTTCCTGTCTGCAAAATGGGTGAGGTGTGAAGGGCCCTGCCTGGCTCCGGGTCCCAGGACCACTGGGAGGAAGTTGCTGGCCTGCAGGGAACAGCCCAGTCTCCTTTTCAGTTCCCCACTGGGCCGTCCCCACTGTGAGAGCTGAGATTCACCAGCAAAGCCACGGGTTTCACTCTGACTGGGCCCTCTGTGACAGCATCACCCCCACCCCAGGCGACAGGCTGTGCGGGCAGCAAGGGGAGGGGAGGAGTTCCCCTTTCTCAGGGTGAGAAGTCGTGCGCACCCCCAGCCCGCTGGGCACTCAGACAAGGCAGGAATCGCCCTGTGGGACAGGTACCCCGTGCGCCCTACCCGGCACCACACAGCTGGAGGGACAGCCAGGAGCAGGGCAGGTGAGCACGAGCCTTCCTGTTCAGCCCACGCATGCCCTGGGCTGTAGCATCGGCTCTGGGGCCTTTCCCTCACTGCTTCACAAGATGCAGCCGGGCCCCAGAAGCACCATAGAGTCCGGCTGGGGGTGGCTGATCCAAATGGCGCAGCTCTCTGTGCCACTGCCCCGGGGAGCAGGTCCTCCCAGCAACCCAACAACTCGCGCTGCCAGCGAGCAGGAATCAGAGATGTGACCACTTCACCCCCTTCTGGCTGTAGGGTTCAGTCCTGGCTCTGCCCCTCTTGTGTAGCCTTGGACAAGGGGCCCAGCCCTCTGTGCCTTAGCATTGTCATCTGAAACGCTGGGACAGTGATTGGGTGAGCTACTGCAGGAGAAAACCCTGACAGACAGACTCTGGTGCCAGAGCCCCAAGCCAGGACCGTAGAGGCTGTTTGGGTCCATCACAGAGTGATGGCTCCACATCCACGTTGCCCAGAGGTGGCCACACACGCACACGCTCACGTTTATAGACCCGTCGGCCCCTTTCTGTAACCACCCTGCAGTGAAATCACACGCCACGCAGCTGCCCGCAGCACACCCTGTGAGAAACAGGGACAATAAAGGAATGTAACTTTACTGCATAGACTGTGTGTGTGTGTCAATGCTGGCACCTGACCGCACGACACAGTGAACCCTGAGCTCCGGCCCCAGGTCTGTCCTACTGTGGGGGGGCGTCTCAAAGGAGGGCAGCAGGGACAGCACCCAAAGGCAATGAGGGGACGCACTAGAACCAGCCCCTTCACGTTTCTCTCAGCCTTGCTTCCCTCACGCTGTTACCCCAAAACCTGTGTGCAACTCCCCCTGTGCTAAGGGGCCAGGGCGGGCCACAGGGTCAGTTCTTCAGAGTCCCCTACAGCCCTGGATGGCATCCCGTCTGCTGTGCCTGCACAACCACCTTGGGTCTGTAACCAGCCAGTCCCTCGAGCTCCAGGTGCCCTGGAGGGAAGCGAGACCCAAACGGCCCTGCCCTCAGGGAGCTACTGCTTCAGACACCCAACATGAGGGAGGTAGCTGGGGTGGGGCACTGACCTCAGCCTGTGAAGCCAGAGCTGGGGGCTTCTGCACGCACAGGCCACACAGGCATAGTCCTGGGTGCAAGGGACAGCCAGAAGGGTGGGGAGGGGGGAGCTGGTCTCCCACAGTGAGACACAGGCCCATCTGGGCACAGCCAGGTGACACCCAGAGGTCACTGTGGGGCCTCAAGGCTGTGGGAAAGGCTGGGCCTATTCTGAGAAGAGGTGTGGAGCGGTGCTCCAGCCTCACTCCGCCACAGAAAGCTGGGGGGCTGGAGGGGTGGGGGAGACAGCCTCTATTCACACCCAAGCAGCGACAGGCCTGTGCAGGGTTCTGGCCCCTCACAATGGCCTGTTCCATCCGTGTGTCCCAGCCACTAACGGGACCTTTACCCACTGGCATCTCGGGGAGAGACCTCCCCACCACCTGGATCCCCCAGGCCACACCAGCTCCCCCCACTGCAAACAGCAAGACAGGGAAGGGACCGTGGCAGAGCTTCTTCACAAGCCAGTCCCCAGCATCAGCCATGACCCAAGCTGCCCACTGTGACCAGGCCGTTGTGGTGGCATCCCGGTGGCTCTGGATGGGGTACTGAGCCCTTGCTGCACTACCTGCCACCTTTGAGATCCTGGGGGTGGTACCAGCCTGAGCCGCAGTTTCTTCTTTGATAACATGGGGACAGTATGCAGGTCCCGCTGACCCCCGCAGGAGTTGGGGAGGGTGGGAGGTGGCCTGGATGAGGGCCTGAAAACAACCTCTCAGAGCAACTCCCAGATCCCAGTCAAGGCTGAGCCTGGAACAGATGCTGCCTAGATGAAGGAACAGATGGATGAGATGTCATCAAAGAAAATGCCTAGTCAAATCTTAGCGGTTGGTATCAAAAACCCGACCTAATAGAAAAGAACTTCCGTGTTCCAAAACAGATTTTAGTCACGTTGTGGGAACACCTAGAGAGAGCAGCAGGGAGACAACTGCTAGAACAAACCACAGAGTCCTGATTGCCACAAACTCGGGTCTGAGCTTCCTGGCAGCCAATGCAAAGAGGGAGTCTCCAAGCAGGGTTGGGGGGCAGCCTCTTGTGCCTGAAGAGTCATGCTGCACAGCAGCCCGTTACAGACTTAGGCGCCAACTCAGGGGCAACTGACAACAACATATTACCATCCTGAGCACTGAGCTGGGGTTGAGATGAGGAAGGGCCTCATCTTGCAAACCATCCCCACAGTTCCTTTCAGCCATTCTCTGAGAAGGGGCAGCATCAGGATTGAGCCCAGGAGTGAATACCACCCCACTATCCTGCTCGGGAACTTCTCTGGGCTCTGCACAGCCCCCAGGCAGCAACCCTCCTGGGGTTGAGTCCCCACTCTGCCGCCGCCTCCATGGACGAGGGACTCCTCTCAGCCTCGGTATCCTTCTCTGTAAAGTGGGGTTAAGAATGCTGCAGTCTCCCCACGAGAGTGTGACCCTGTGACGCGTGTAAAGGGGCTCCTGGGTGGGTGTGGAGAGGCTGGGGGGAAGGGCACAGGCAGGGCTGAGCGCTGGGCCCCCTCCCGGGGAAGCTGTCCTGAGCTGCCCCTCACTCCTGCTCAACAGCAGAACCCCTTTCACAGCCGGCCATATACGCAGGGCACAGAAGTGGCTATACATGTCTGCTGAGCACAAAGACACTTGGAGCAGGTGGAGGGCATGGCATTGAAAGCCAAGAATAGTGAGGGTAACCACCCAGAAGCCAGAAAATAAAGACCCAACCAGAACGTGGTAGGGGGTTTGCTGTGGCTATGGATTTCTGCCCACCAGGGGCATCTGGGCATTAAGTCCACAGGCCAGCATGTTTCAATGTCCTAAGGAGGACACTGCAGAAACAAGCATCATGTCATTAAGGCAAGGAGTAGGAGGGTCACTGCCTCAGAAAAAAGGACAGTCCTCGTCGTCAAGTAGATTAGATTTAGAGGGAGGAGACCCTTGCCACCCTGCCTGGGCCAGCTCTGTCCAAGGTGCAGGGTGTGGGAACCTCACAAGACCCTCCAATAACCTCTAGGCTCGTGTCTAGGCCCCACTTCACGCGTGGGGAGACTGACTGCAGCTGCTGCTGGCTTCTGGGGGCATGGCTGGGGCGGTCAGGGCCTCATGCTGGCAGGGACACAGGCTGAGGAGGCCAGGCTCGCCCTCCCCCTCCAGGCATCAGGGAGCCAAGGAGACTTGGAGGAAGCAGAAGGGTGGGTGGGGGCAGTGCTGGGGGCAAATGGGGTGGTCCTATGGAGCCCTTACTGTGGGGTGACGTCCTGACCCCCCACCAGTCCACCAGTGCTACTCCGAGAATCCAGACACAGCCCCTGCCCTGTGGCTGCCCAGCCTTGCTGGTCTCCCTGCCTCTGTCCTCTGTTCCTCTTAACAGCCGCAGTCACCCTGTCCAAGTCAGATGGTGTCCCCTTCACTGCTCACGGCTCTCCTGGAGCTCCCATCTAACTGAGCATAGATCTCCTCCAGCACAAGGGGCCCTGCACGAGCTGGCCTGGTCACCTCCTGATCCCTCTCCTTTCTCCCTCCTGCCCGCTCAACTGGCACGCCCTGCCAGTGACCTTTGCACCTGCTGCTTGCTGAAAA